ATTTAATTAAAGACTATATGCCCAAGTATGTTATTGAGGGGTCAGTGGTATTGATGGCATGCCATAGAGTCTAACAACTATACATTAGGTAGGACTAGAGTGTCTAGAGAAGGAACATAGTGCAGGCCTTAGAGTGTCTAGTGAAGACACACGGTACAAGACACTAGAGTGTATATACAAATCACTTGGTGTATATGGTGGGCACGACCTAACCTTATGTGAAAGCACTACGGTGCTATATTTGACTCCTATATCGGGGTCCTCATAGATTGATATTTGGGCTATGGTTTATTGATTAATAAATGATAAACAAGTGAATGAGCTTATGGAATAAATTACAAGTATATTGGTAAGAAATTTTATAGCCAGTTTATATCATGTTAGTATATGGTAACATGGTTGGAAATTAGGCAAAGTGAGCATAATGAATTGAATATTGTCACTCATTACATTTATGTGTTGCATTGCTTTAAATATTTCTATGATTGCCTCACTAAATGTATACTTAGCGTGTGATGATTTTCACGCATAGGTAAAAGAAAACGAGAGGAGTAAGGAGTTGAGCTTGGCATCAATCACCAAGGGATAATTACAGGTAACAGTGATGATATCCTATTGTGTTTAAAATTTTCTAGTTGGCATGTATATGAGTAAGAAATATTTGAAAATTTATAAATATGGTTTGTAATTAATATAATTAATAGTTTGAATAAATATTTTGATATTAAACTATGTTTTAAATATTAATTGATTGGATGTTAATTAGACAGTTATAGACAGCTTTATTTGTTATATGAAACAAAGTATAATTGTCTATTATTGCCTGAAACAGGATTTGAAATAGAAGTCGAATAGTTTTAATTTGATTTTCAACTATTCTAATATAAATGGTTACAAATACGGAATTTGTGAAAAAACAAAATTTTACCTATTTTGTGTTAAGAAATGTTTTGCATATTTGATGTGATATCTTTAACTCGTAAGAATACAGTATGCGAGTTAAGGGTGTTACAGAACATATATTAGGCAAACTTGGGAATCAGATCCAAACCATGACGATGGAAGGGTATGCATGGGATGTGCTAAAGCTCAAGGTTGAACAGTCAGATATTGGCCGTAGATGATCCTTCTCGACCAAGACTTCATTTTGGAATCTAGCAGTAAAATAACCTTTCTTCAAGTCCATGAGTGTGAAGGGTTGTAAGGGTCCCCAAAGCGGGAAGGTTTTGTTCGCGAGAGCATGGAGGCCGACGTTACGACCCAAAAGCTTCAAAACAGTTATCCTGGACATGCTAGCTTCCATTAATCTGTAGGCACGCTCGAAAATTTGTATAGAGGGCATAATGAGATGAGTTCCGATAATGAGATCCTCATCCTCGTCCAATTGGTTATCACTTGTGGTATCGTTTCTGTTGGGTTTGTCAGAAAGAATCGAAGCATATGAAGGAGGAGTTTCCTCTAGTTCATCAACTCCCATTTGAGAAACGGTGGTGTCCCCTGGGCAGGTGGTCTTAGGCGTTCAGCCCTGGCTTCATCAAGGGTTTTCGGTCGATCATTGGGATCGATTGTTGAGAGCATTTTCGGAATTGTTTTGCAAAGAATGTTCATTTTCATTCCGTCTTTTTTCAAATTCAAGGGAACATATATTCACTTCATCAGTTTAATGAATTTTAAGTATCAAAGAAAGACCTATTCTTCATTTTTCAAATTTGATACAAAGAGGGTACTTTCAAGTGGGTCTCACTATTATCCAAATTTTTTTATAGTAATAAATAAACAATACATTATGATACTTAATCCTAATTTAAGAATTCAGTTTTATGAACTTAAACACTAATTCAACTAGTTTTAATTCTACTATTGCAATCAGTGACAATCTCTGTTGGAATTCCATGAAAGCGTGTTATTTTATGAACAAAGGTAGCAGCCACTATAGCACTAGTGAAATGGGCTTCCTTGCTCATGTAGAGCATTGGAAAAAAAAATTCTCGTATAAGGTTCTTACCACATTATTTTCTGATATAGGCTTATTGCTATGATATAAAGGAAAAACGCAGTTAATCTTGGACTCTTCAGTTGAAGACCTTTTCTCAAGGTTAAAGAAGCTAATAATCTTGGAGTCTTCTAAAGGTATTGTAGCAATTATCCTAATATGGGAAATAATATCCGAGATGAACTATTTTGAGAAAAACTTTTTTAAAGACATAATTTTAACCATTATTCCAGTGAAATCAGTGGGTAAGATGATGAAATGGTCATACTATAAACGATCAATCGCCACCATAATGATGCATCTACAATGTGATAATGATAATCTTGTAATAAAATCTGTAGAACTGCCTTCAAAGACTAGACAAGGCAGCAAAAGCGGTTGAGTAATCTTGATGGGGTAAAAACAAAGATTTTATTTGTTGACATTATGCTACAAACCGTTGAACATCACGACACATATGCGTCCAATAAAAAATTTACTAAATTCACAAAACAAAAAGAATTTATAGTTTTTTAAAATATAATTATGCTTATCTTTCAAAAGCCAAAAAAAGCATATAAATTCCTAAAATAGAAAATTATAAAAAAAATTGACTTCATTTTAACAAATTATAATTTTTAAATATTTTTTTATAATTTTATAATTTTTTCTATTTCTTTTTATATTTTTATATATTTTTATATTTTGCTAAAATGTCACGTGATAAAATTTGAATAAGACATGTCAAAATTTTTAATAAAAAAAAGTAGGATAAAGTACACAAATGGTCCCCTGGCTATAGGATATTGCTTTATTAAGTCCTTCAACTATTAAAAGTTACAAAATAGTCTTCTAACTATATAGTATTGCTTTGTTGAGTTCCTCAACTATTAAAAGTTGCAAAATGGCCACCCGACTATTCATTATATTTCAAACTCATCATTTTCCGTCAAAAATTGATTGTATTCTTAGTTAAACGTTAATTTGCTGGCTGAGATAAGATAAAATTTGATCTCAGAATCTCAAACAATTATCACATCTCAGTCATCATATTAACGTTCAACTTAGAGAATCACTAATTTTTAATGGAAAATGACAAGTTTGTGACATAATGAATAGTCGAGTGACCATTTTGTAGCTTTTAATAGTCGAGGGACCCAATAAAGCAACACTCTATAGTTGGAGATCTATTTTGTAACTTTTAATAATCGAATGACTTAATAAAATAATATCTTATAGGAGGGGGACCATTTGTGTACTTTATCCAAAAAAAAATTCTGATAGGCTATGGATGATGGGAATGAAAGTTGGACCAAATTGATTGAAAACATAATAAAAGAGCTAAAACAAAAATTTCATTGAAGCATGAGGAGCAAAGTATTAATGCTTGTCATTGTTGTGATATCATGGAAGAATAGCTATCTTTATTGTACAAAGTTATCAACAGAAAACATAAATCCATCACTTCAACCAAATTATCAATTTATATTTAATAATAAAATTATAAAAGCAGGGCATCAAATTATATTAAATTAAAGTAAGTGTGTTAAATCTCAAATTTTAACATAGAAAAAGTATTTAAACCACGATTAAACCAACAGGAGATACTCGGAAAGCTCGTGAGTAACTCAAAAGAATAATATATTCAATTTTTTTATTTTTTATTAATAATATTAGCATTTATATGTTGTTCTTTAAAAAAATTAATATAGGGTTCGGGTTCGAGTTCGAGCTTAAATCTAGCTAAATCTAAGAATATTTTGAGTTCAAGTTTTTTCGAACTCGAATCGAGCTTCAAATTTTTGATTTCGACTTAAACTTAAAAACTTTAAGCTCGCAGAGTTTTCAAGTCAAATTAAGCTTTAATTTTTATCTTGAGATCGAGTCAAGCTTGATAGTTTTAATCGAACTTCAATTTTTTATCTCGAGTTCGAGTCAAACTTGATAATTTTAAGCTCGTGAATTTTCAAATTTAATCGAGCTGAACAATACTCGAACTCGATTCGGATCGTTTACAACCCTAGTCACAGAAATGTGATATATATATATGCGAGAATAAAGTACCTGTTTTATGGCATTTCTTGGGAAGAAACATGGGCTAGCAAAATCAAACCCAGACTTCATAGGAGCAGGCCCTGAAGCAATGACGCCTTCTGCACCATATTTACTAAATGCATCAACCTGTGGCTTTAATTCTACGCCAGATTTAGCAGATGGGAGCACAACCTGCAATGCGTTGCAGTAAACAACATATCCGATAGTATCCACACGAAGACGAGTCCTAAAAGGAAGAAAAAGACAAAGTGAAGTTTAGAGCAATTACAAGAAGGTAGCCATCTGGTGTTGTCCTCTTTCTGTCAATAATATCGGCACCATTCAAAGCTTTGGAGATTGCCTAAACCAAAGCATGTCGAATCGAAGTGAAGGAAAATCCAGCTCCACTGAAAAGCAACTTTGTGGCTTTTTGATTCAAGAGGAGACATCAGCTAGTGCCTTGAAATCGGGAGTCCTTTTGGCAGTAAGAATTCGGATCGTGTTTCGAATTCTATTATGCCTTGTGAAGAGAGTATGCACAAAAGTGGGTGGGTGACTGGCTGACTTTAGAACCGGCAACAGGCAAGATTCAAGTATCATAGTCAGCCACAAACAGGTGTGCTATATTGATATACTTAATTTCTAAATAAATTGGATTTTGGAATTCTAATTCAGAGTTTTGGTTGGATTTGAAGGAATGAATGAATGTTATATACAAATACTGTTAGGTTGCCAAGGCCTTTCACAGCTTCACATCAAACAAGATTCTGTCTCTCATTTCCGCCCCCGATTACAAAAGGTCTGTGAAGATCAATGGCAGAATTATCTGCCACAATAGGGAGCATTGATGGAGCTAAAATCATCTCTTGTTTAGCACTCTCAGCCAGTGCTTTCTCCAAAGCACCCTTGGCCACTTCAGTTATGAAAAATATCAGAATCGCTATGAATATAAAATAAAAAGAAATTATTTTAAAAAACAACCATAATATCTACCCCGTTGTTCTTCATGTTAAATTTCTAAGCAAGGTAAAAACTAGAGGCGGTGCGAGCTTACCGGATATAATGAAGCCGAACGCCATAATAACCTGTATCAGCAGACAAAGGTCAATAATACAATTGACAGAAACTTATGGTTTTGTGAAATATTACATGTTAACAGAGAAAGGAGCTTAACACATACCTGATGACTTGGGGAAACTCCATCCCATCCGTATGTTACATCTGAAAGGTCCTTTAGAGTTGTTCCAACATACACCATCCCAAATGTAATTGGCTGTAATAAGAAACAACGCGACAATTAACAGCTTGAACAAGGTGCGACCAAAAAAAGAACATTAAGAAGTAATATCAAAGCAATGGTAATAACAATAGTAACTTTGTCTTCCAACAGCATTTTGCAATAAATGAAAAAGAAAGATGTAGGACTGAATACCATCAATCCCAACCAGGATGCCAAAACGTACTCCTCCAAACGGACCGAAGTCACCGAAAGGAGGTAATTCAACATGTTGAATGGCAATAAAGGAACAAGTCGAAGCAGAAAAACTATCTGTTCGTTAAGCAACCAGAAACAAGAAAATGGTCAACAATTTTACAGCAGAGTTTCAAATTATACTGCAGGAAGCAAATGCAATTATGAAAAATGATTTTTCTTTTTTTGCTAAATATGAAAAATGATGTACTTTTACTAACAAATGCAATTAAGCAAAATCCAGACCTCATTAGAACTGGTTTACCTGCATAGTATAACCCATTCCATTGGGACATCCTTAAAGCATTAATGCAGTAGTTTAAGGCTAAAGCCCATCTGTCATTGTCATTCAAGTAGTTCATAACTTCTTTATGATAGCCTTGTCGCATTTAATTTAAGATAATATGAACATAAATAAAATTGACAACAACAAGAAGAGGCAACAGATTAACCAGATAAATACAACATGCAGGCACAATAAGCTAAGAAAAGACCAAGAACACATGCCTTGAACCCAGATCTCTCACTTGCGATAGCAACTGCTAGGAACTTAGAGTAATTTCTAAGCTTGGAGATTACATATGATCTTCCAATCTGCCAGACAAAGGAAATGGAAAGACATTAAAGCTTATTATTGCTCATGTTATATATATATATAGGTGCTCATATGCATAACATCCCGGCAGCAAGACTCAACTGTTCTGCAAAAAATGAAAGCAACCGTAGCGCCTAGCATAGAACCAATTGAATCAGCAATAAAACCCACAGGCAGCCCGAACAGATAACCTTCCCCAAGCTGCTCTCCAGAAGACAATTGAATGTGGTTTCAAAAAATAATACTCCTAACATAATTATATTAATCTAAGTGTAATGCAAACTCAAGGTAAGAACTGCAGCAGGTACAGCAAGGACTGTGAGAGGAATGTAGGCAAATGCCAAGAAATACAAGTTTCGATGCACACAAATGAAGTTCAATAAACAGCATTGAAGTAAATAACCATTGTTTACCGCAATTCTTGCAGTACCAGTATTATCATTTATTGATCATGCCGGAATTTTAAATGCAAATTCCCAACTTCTGCTAAAAATTCTTGAACTTAAATGAAACGCTAGACTGTTCATGCAATAATCTTGAGGAATATGAGAAGAAAAACAATAATTTACACCCTAAATAAATAAAAATGAAGGCAAATCATGAATAACAAAGTAGTACTAATTAACTTACATCATTACAGGACCCCATTGCCCAAGATCCTCCTTTACCCAGATCAAGAAATTCTTCAACATTTGCAGAGCATCAATCTTATTTAATTCATTCAAAAACATCACCATCGATTAAAAGATGAAACTAAATAATTATGGGTGTATGATTCCACAAAAAATAGAGTCCAGCACAATTGATCCTCAAATTACTAAAAGGAGAAACGAAGTATCTATGAGAAAAGGAAAATTCCTGTTCCACGGGGAGGGAAATGATGGTCACTGCAATGGCGGCCAAGAGAAGAAAACATAATCGGATTCTAAAAGCAGAGACACAGGTATCGGAAACAACCTCCATGTTGGGAAACGAGAACAGAGCCAATACCTCCGGCGTTCGTCCTTGCAGCCACCAAGTCAATGGCAGCTTGATTCAACCACGACCGTGCCCTCGATCCCTCCTCGACCTTGCCAGGTATAACTAACCCGCATTTATCTGACCCCATTCGTGCATTAGAGGTGACGCATATATTTAGGTACAAACTGATTTATATATTTTTAGAAAGTGTTTCTTTCTTCTTCATGTTCTTATTTCTTTTCCTCTCTTGGGGCTTGACATAACTGAATCTCTGAAAATCCCAACATCCTTTTCAATTCTTCAGTACATGCTCCTCATCGAGTGTTAACTGTAGAGTAACCGATCAAAAGAAAAAGTATCAGCTCCTATATATATACTCCAATTTAAATCACTTGTCTTTTCGGTTGCCCTTGCTTCAAATTCAGAGCTCATCTCTTCAATAATCCATTCCACTTCTAATTTTCCACCTCGAGAAAACTCAAAAGCCGAAATTGCTAGACACAATTCATATTTGCATGCTATTTATAGACAAATGGAATGTCTATAAATATTCGATTTTTTTTTAAAAAAATGTCTCACAGATAAATAGTAGACTCAATGGTATAAGGGAAGATTATTCTCAATTCTAGATTCGAGCAGTTACGTCTTTATAGATAAAAAAAGTTATAAATTGGTACCATTGAAATAGGTTTTTTATGGACAAAAACTCAAAAATTCATTTTTTAGACAAACAACCCTCAAAATAGGAGTGTGCATTTTCAGATACGTCTATTATCTGATCCGAAATTTTATATATCCAAAAAATTTGAATCATTAAAATTATGATTTGTATCCGATCCGAAAAAATCGGATATCTTATCATAATATTGATGATACAATTTTCAATTTTTTAAGTGAGAAACACCATTAAATTTCTTTCATCGTACAAGAAAAATAGTTTCATTGATATATTTTAAGTTTTAATACTTTGAAGATGCTAAATTTGTTTCACAATATTAAAGCATTTTCCCTCCATTGTTTCGTGCAATATTTCCCATTAAATGGGATATACAGCAGAGTAAAGAAAACATAATAAGAGAATTGATTCCAAAATGCAGTTTCCAACATTCTACTTTGGATGTGAACTACTGGACAATGGAGGAAGGCTACTACTAGGGTGGGAATTTTAAAAGATTATTATTTAAAAGTTGGATTAAAATTTTAGCAGGTTAGGGGCGTTGGATGAGCTGGATTGTTGGGTTATCTAGTTAAACTTTCCAAAGGGCCCAATTTTTAATCGGGTTTTCAGATAATCTGAAAGTCAATTTTCGTTGATCCGTATCCGATCTGATTATTCGATGCTTTTTCAAATATATAATCTAAACTATTTGAAAATGAAAAAAAAAACGGATCGGATATCTGAATTTTTGGAATGGATTAACGGATCGAATTCTTTCGCACACCCATACCTCAAACGGCATTAAATTGGAAAAATACTCCTAAACTGCACATGTAGGACTACCTCGTGTCTTACAAAACACGTGTAAAGACCTTACGTTCTATAGGACGCGAGACTCCTCTAACGTAGAAACACTTTTCAGATAATACAATTTAACGTCTATTAATGACCTCACGCTATACAAGACGTGAGGTACACTGTTGAGTTAATCGATTGATGGAATCGGCCAAGAGGGGAGTGAATTGACAATTACAAATTTGGTGGAAGCTTTTGCAGAAAATTGAAAGTAATTGCACAACGATTTAGAGTGGTTCGACTTTCTCAACCAAAGTCTACGTCCACTACCTTAGCTATCCACACTAAGGATTTTCCACAAATTCACTAATTTGTCTTTCTTTTGAGGACAAAGAGTAACCTTACAAACCCTCAAGAATTATACCCCAAATTCTTGAGAACACTCTCTCCCAAAGAGAACAATACAAATTTGCAAACTTACAAGGAAATCCTCAAAAGGTAGATTGTTTGCACAATTCTAGAACAAAGAAAAGAACACTCAAGAATGAATACAATTGACTACAAGTAGTGTTCTTGAAAGCAAAATGAATATTGAATGAAAATAGGCTTGAAATGCTCAAACTTGAGGTTTGATGCTTTCTTTTTGATTCTCTCTTGATTCTAGTTGCTTGTTGTTTCTTGTTATTGATCAATGGCTTCTAAGCTTGTTTAAATACACCTTGAATCACTTCTGAACGTTGGGGGATCATTAATGAAGTTATTGGAGCCGTTTAAGTGTGAAAACAATTAATATTTCTTCTTGGAGCGTGGGGGGAATCGGTACCCCCTCATGGGGAATCGGTTCCCTAAGTGTAAAATTCAAATATTTCGACCGTTGATCAGGGGGAATCGGTAACCCCTTGGGGGGGAATCGGTTCCCTCCGAGCATTCTTTTTTTCTCGGAGCCAAACCATTTAGGGGAGAATCGGTACCCCCTTGGGGGAAATCGGTTCCCTCTGAGCAATTTGGAATTTTTGGCTTTGAGATGGTTCGAAATATTTTGTAAAATTGTTTTGAAATTATTTTAAGATTAAAACTTAATTTTACACTTGAGTAAGGATTAAAAATGACATTTGAAAGATTTGGAGTAATATTTTGATATTCGAATAATTATATCGAATATACTTAGAAAATCTTTTTGGAAAATCTTAAAATTCATTTAACTTAATTTGTTATATCGAAATATCAAAATGTTTTCAACAATCTCCCCCTTTTTAATATAACAAAACATTTTAGTAATTTTAAGATTTTGAAATCAAGTTTGAAATTACTCCCCCTTACTCTAACACTTCTCACATTTCTCCCCATTTTTGTTAAATCAAAAAGATTTTTAAAAGTTTTTAAACAAGGTTTTGAAATCATTTAGCCAATTGATGATAAATATATATAGCTTAAGCTGCTAAGAACACAATCAAGAGAAAGATTAGCCATTAGTTCCATAATTTAATATTCATAAACAATGTGAAATGACAAAAATTGGTCATAATACAACTAATATGTAAATGATGCAAAAATAAACATTAAGCTCAAAATAAAAGTGAAAATCAAACCAAATATATAAGCATGTAAGTTCAAATATCCAATTATCCAACAAATTCAAATACCCAAAATAAAACAATCCATGAACATCAAAATGTTGAAATAATGAGCTTTAAGTTCAAAGTACTAAAGCATAACACAGAATCAAGCATCCGTAGGAGGATCGGGAGGAGGAAAATGAGCTCGCATAGCGGCCATCTCATGTGAGAGTGCATCAATGCGTTTATTCATAGAAGCGTTGTTTGTGCGCATCTCCCGGAGAATTTCCAATTGTTGAGCTCCCATTGTGGATAAATGAGATTCTATGGAAGTGAAGCGAGAATCCATGGAAGCATATCGAAAATCAAATGTCTCCATAAAGGATTGAAAGTATAGAGGCATTTGATTCTCTGGTTGTGCTTGTTCCTCTGCTCGTGCTTGTTCCTCGTGCTGTTCTGGTTCATTGTCGGAGTCATCAACTTCAGGCAGTTTCTCACCGGTTCGAACCCAAAGACCAGTTTCTTCATTGATCTTCCATCCCGATTTAGTTAAAGAGAATAGATTGATTTGGTTTTTGAGGGGAAAGGAAGCATCAAGACCAACTCTAAGCCCAACCTTTTTAAACAGATTACTAAGAATACAACCGTAAACTAAAGAAGAACACAATTTCTTATTGGGAACAAGATTTACGGTTTCGACAAGTTCAACAAAAATAATATGTGGAAGGTTAATTTTGTGATTATTTTGGACACAATGAAGCCAAAATAGATCTAAGGCGCGAAGAGTAGAGTAACGGCCCCCGGATGGTCGAAACCACCAAGAGATCATTAGGTGAAGAAAACGGTCATGAAGGTCTAAAACACTTGCACTATCCCTTCGCTTATACTGAGATCCTACCGTAAGTTTTTCATTGTCTAACCCTTCATTATCTAATCCTAATGCTTTGGCAATGGATTCCGAGTCAATATGAAAGAATCATCCTAGAAGATAGGATCGGATCCCTATGGTTAAGGGTTTCTCTCGATTTTTAATGCAAACGACATTAGAGTAGAAGATACGAACAAGTTGATGGTAGATAATTGGTTCAAGCTCGAAGAGTTTGTCAAATTTCCACTCATGAAGAGTAGGAAGATGACGAAAATTGATGTCTAGCATGGCTTGAAGAGATGGGATACGTTTTTCCCGGATTTTGTAGGACTCAAAGTATTGACAAAACCTATAGTAGAGATTTTGTTTACGATCGGGTTCATTGAAACAAGAATTGCGAATGGTCATATTTGGATCATCGGGATTAGGAATAAGAATTTGTGGGATAGGTGGAGGATTTGGAGGTGAGTTTTGAGGTTGGCTAGAACGACTAGAGGAGGCCCTAGAACGTTTATGAGACACGATTTAAGATAATCGAAATGGAAAGATAACCTGCAATTTTAAAAACATATGTATGCAAAATAATCAACCCAAAACTCAATTGAGTCCTCAATATTTCAAGGTTCTCTATACCAATCCTAATGGGCAAAGTTTTTGAAAAACTTATTGAAAAATAAGGTTTTGAAAATGAATACATGTATAGTTTTCATAACAACAACATAATTCAATCAAAACACAATAATTTGAAAAACAGTTTTTTTATTTCGAAAATTTCAAAGAATTTTAGAAAATTCTTGCGTTTTTGATGAAATTAGTTGTAAAATCTAGTTTCTAATAACTAAACAATCAATGCCCGATCTAAAGTTCGACCTAGAACTAATTAAAACTAGTTCTATGTTCAAATATTGATGAAATAGAAGTTTTAGAAAAATACCTTGAAGAATTTTATATTTGAGTGAGATTATATAAAGTTTGCACGATTTTGATGATTCCAATAGGTTTAGGAGATGATATTTGAAGAGAATTCCGATTAAAAACGTTGTTTTGAGGCAAAATGGAGATTTGAGAGATGGAGAGAGTTATTTGCGTGAAGAAATAAGAGAAGAGGGTTTTGAGCAAAACATAAGGGTTCTGCCCGATAAAACCAGAACCCTCATGGGGTATCAATTCCCCTGTGGGGGGGGGGGGAATCGATTCCCTTTCAAAGGGGGAAACGATTCCCCTTCAAGAGGGTATCGATTCCCTCTACACAAAAAATGCTAAAATCTGAT